GTTTTTTTTTCCATGTGTAATCTGCCACCACACCAAGCTACCTCCCTGATGGATACCAATAAAATCCATGAGCTTTTGGAGATGAGGCATTTTGATTCACAGAGAACACTGGGTCATCTCAGAGCTCCTCAGCTGCAGAATATTCTGTTACTCTTTTGCAGCTGTGTGCTGTACTGCTGGGTGGATTAGACTGCTACCATAAGAAAGGGTTTTGGTAAACCATGTCTGCAATCAGACTCATCTCAATTTTAAAAATGGATATCTTCAAGTGGTGAATGATATTTTGAGTTTTTGAAAATATATGCAGTGCAAAAAAGAATGGCTTGAGCATAAACATTTTTCTTAGTAATAATTTTTGAAGAGTAGTAGTACCTTCACTGCAACACCCAAACAAAAAGGTTTTCTAAAATGCTTTATAGGAAGCTTTAAAAAGCACAAAAATAACAAAAACAATTTATAAAAAACAACAATTTTTTAATAAATGTAGTCACAGTTTATAGAAGAAAGATCAGACACCATAGCAGATAGAAACATTTTGGATTCCATCTCCCCCAGATCTATCTGTGTGACTTTGAGCAATAAAATTACTTTCTGCCTCTTTGCCTGAGAAAGTAGAAATATGGATGTTATGGACCAAAATGTGTCTCCTACAAAATTCACATATTGATGTGCTAGTGCTCAATGTGACCATATTGGAATGTAGGGCATTTATGGAAACAGGATAAATAAACTAATAATCATGATGCTTTGATCCATTAGAATTAGCACAGTGTCCTTTTAAGAGAAGGCACCATAGATCTGCTATCTCCTTTTGTCATGTGAAGACACAGTGAGCAGGTAGCCACCTGCACATAAGAGAGAAGCTACCTGCATATAGGAAGAGAACCCTCACCAAAAGCCATGCTACTCAACCATGACCTGATACTGCGAGCCAACTCTAAGAAGATAAATTTCTGTTACTGAATCTGTCTAGTATTTGGTATTTCCCATTGACAGCTTGAGCTAAGACAGTGGAATTAGCACCATTCCTTTGTTTTCTGAGATAAACATCATACAATCCAGGCTGTGACTTCCCAGTAACAGGTTGACCCCTGGTTGAGAGCCCACTTGCTTTGTTCTTTAGGAGAGTTAGATATGGGAAACGAGAGTCAATGTTAGGAAAATATCAATACAGAGAACTTCAGATAAAGAAAGTTTAAAGACATTTGTCAGTTGTACATGTGGTTGTGAATGTATGCAGGTAACAAATATGTAATGATAGCACTTGCTGGTTCAAATCATTGCTTCTGAAGCATGTTTTCCTGGGTGAGTATATTTCCTTCTTACATACGAGCTGTGTTTCTAAGGAATAGTCATTTAAACTCTCTGAGCTGAACCTTCTTTGTTGCTCTAACGGAGATTATAATATCTTTTGCCATACTGTTAGGATTAATAAATCAATCATATGCTCTTAGAACAGTGACTCATGGATGGAGTTTCTCAGGGATTCCTTTGACTACGACACACAGCCACAAGAATACAGATTCAGACAAACTGGAATTGTTTTAGTCAAAACAAGAAAAGGAAAAAAGGACCTAAAACATAGCTAATCTTCATCCTCTGCATACACTTCACATGACCTGGGCAGTTTCCTTTCTCATCTGATCCTCCAAAAAGTAAAACTCCCTGGTTAATCTCTAAAAATCTCTTGGTTCTTTCAAATTTATCAACCACTTGTGCCGGTAACAAACTCCAGAAATAATTGGGACATGGAGAGAAAGAGAATGGGGACAGAAAATGAGAAATCGCACAGATTAAGAGTTAAGATAATGCTAGATTATCAGCCACTTACAATGACATTAAGGAATGATGATCTCCACGTTAATTGTGTCATTGTCATACTACTATTGCTCTTACTCAGAAAAAATGATTTCTCCCAATCAAAACTGATTCCAATATAAATGACTTTCTGTTTTCACATTTATGCTCTTCGTATTGGATCTTAGGTTCTTAAAAAAAAGTAATTGTGACAAGAATCTACAGTCACATTTTCAGAACAATCAAAACTTTCCCCACATTCTCCCATGTAAGTCACATTGAACCTCCTGCTTCTCTATTTAAGATTCATCTCAGCCAGGTTAACTCTGAGTCATTGTTTCAACTTTCCTCCCATAAGGAACCAGAAGCTCATTTCCAATCACAAATGTAATTGTGGGATCATTTCTCCAGAAAAAGGGGATGAAGAGGTCTAAGAGTGGGCATGATAAAACACTTTCAATTGATTTCCTTTCTGCTGAACATGTAAGCATCCCAAACAGATTTCTGTCATTATTTGCAGCACTCTTAGAGGCATCATTAATCTTAGTTATTTTTCAGGAACTTGACCATCAACTCAGAAGACCAATTTTGTTTATAATAAGCTTTTGGGGTCCAGAAGATTTTAAATGCTTCCTTTCTAGGGAATTAATGACACTGTTGATAACTGCTAAATTACATGTCATTAAGCCTTCTTAATTTTATTCAGGTGTTTTGAATTTGATGCAAAATTTATAATTTATCAACTTGAACAAATGTATATGAGTTGTGATTGAAGCAAATAAGATTACAATATATGACAATCCAAGTTAGTTGTAGATGAAGAAAATTATAATTGTTTAAAATATGAATAAACTTAGCCACTGAAAATAATTTCTTTGAATTCCTTCTATTCATGAAAATACTTCTGACTTCACTGAAAATGTGAGAATTTGAGTAAGAAATACGGAAGTTGAGATCAGAGGGAAGGAGGAATACTTTATCCATTTGTCTTTTATAACATATGCAATTACAAAATATAAATTTGATATTTTAAAATAATGTTAAATAAGAAACTAGGCTTATGTTCAGGAATCCCTAGCATCAAAATAATATCAACAACAATAATAAAAAATAGTTAACTGAAAACAATAAAAATAATTAGAGGGTGATAAGATTTTGGCACAATAGGAAGATGAAGAAAGTAGAAAAGAGGGCTTTACTGTAGGCACGGGAGGGCTGCAGAAGAGATGCAGGCACCGCAGAGAGAACAAAGAAGTGAATGTACTTTTACCAGGTTTGGCTGGGGGAGGAGCTTGAGAGGTGGGCAAAATGACATATCAACAGCTGATTTGAAGGAGCAACTGCAGCTCAAAACAGGAAACAGATTTATTGGGGCTGGGGGTAGAGCACTTGAGTGGTTGTGCACTCTTGCGATTGGAGAGGGCTCAGTGCATGCACAAAAAGGAGTGGGAGGTTTATTTCTGGAACCAGAAGGAGAACGCAGAAGTTACTCTTGGAGAAATAAGTTGCTTCTGTTGCTTTTCTAGGCCCAGTACTAAGCTGGCTGGATCTTACATTACAGATAGCTAAGCCTCAGGCTGGCTGGATCCATCAGAAGATACTCTCAAAGAATTAAAATTCTGTGTACTAATAATTTCAAGAAACTTATCACCTAAGTGGCTAACGTAAAATTTCAACCAGTTCAATTGCTTTTTAAATTTTTAATATCATTTTTCTATGTAATTTTTTAAAATACATTTTCAAAAGTCAGAGTTGTGTATGTTCCAAATTTACTTCTGTGTTACTTAGTTTTAATTTTTTATAACTGAAATAATAAAATTGCTTCTAATTGATTATTCTTTCATTAATTAGAAGAAATGAACTATTCCAGTTTTGGATTTACCAGCATTGATATTTAATTTACTTAGGTTAATATACACTAAGCGATAATTACTCGTCAGCTTCTAAAAACATAGATTACTGCTTAGTAGACGCTGATACTATGAGACTATTTCCAGGTGAAAGGCAGCCAGGAAGACCTGAGTTAGTGCAAGTCCTAATGGGTAGACATTTCCAAGGGTGTATCATTTCTGTTCTGCATGTGAACCACTGACCATATTCTATTGCATTGAGGTACACTGCAAGGATCTAGACAAAAATCTGAACACAGGACTATTGAAGAGCATACACTAACTATTGCAAGCAGCCTTCTGTTCTAGTGAGAACAAGCATCCAAATGTCTAACACTTGTCAAAGTTAAAAAGTATTCATATCCAAAGAAATATCTTCCTCTTATCTCACAGTAGTGTGACTTACACAATATAATGCATGCGAGTTAGTTTTGCTGATGGAACACTGGTGTCCAAAGCAGGAGCCAAACTAAGGAAAGCTTTTGAAATAGCAAATACAGGATAACTGGTAGCTAGCATTGCCAAACTCTACCTTACAAGAATACAACATCCTAAAAAGACGAAACTCAGACTCTTCTTGTTCTCCCTCAGCACTCTATTAATTGTCTCTAAAGATAATGGAATCTTAATTTATCAGTCTACAAATCACTCTAATAGCAGATTGTTAACTACCTTTGAATGGAAGCCTAACACTTATTTATCTCCAACTTCCTTTGTGTAAAACCATCCCTGCTTCTCTGCACAAATCAGATTTTATCAAGAGCGGAAGAAAGAGAAAACACTCCAAATCAGACCAGCATCTGATTTGTGGAATAAAAGGTTCCTGACTTCAAAATGAACAATTATCATGCCCTAAAAAGTTGATCCAACTTTGTTTTTATTTGCTCAAAGTGGCTCATTGCAGAGGAAAAGCACATAATGATTTATGTAGTGCCACAAAACTTTAATCCATAGCTCATGGAAGGGTGCAAGAGCAGCTTGAAAATTACGCTGAGCTTAATTATACTTAATGTGAATTATTCAAAAGTGCAGACAGAGACTAAAAATTTATTTCATACAAAGAAGCTTGACATTTTAATTGGTCCTTCAGAATAGAGACAAAACAATTTCCTCTCAAGAAAATTTACATCTTCCCTATCAGAGCTGAAGCCTCAGCCAAGCAGAACTTCATTAACAAGATTAATCATCATACCAGTGTATGCCTCATCAGGTGTATGGCCCAGGTAAAAAGAAGAATAAAAAGTCATGACTGGTATTTCCAACAGATAGGACTGATACAAGAAGGAAAAAAAATGACAGATTCAGTTATCATACCTTGGTCATTAGCCATTTTGTCAGGGTGTTCCACTGTGAGAGGGGAAAAAAAAAAGATTAGATTTTGACAGTCCGAGTTTTTGTCAATCAACAGTTTTGTTAGCAGGTTTTCACATTAAGGTAAATGCTCTACTGAAACAAGATATATAAACACTCAAATTTATATGTGATCATCCATATTAAGTACTCAGAGGAAAAAACATTAAAAATAATGTTTTGCTGTATAAATGCATTCTAAAATATATTATTGTCACATCAAAACAAACTCAGAATACTTACCATGTGTGTTTAATTAAAACTAGACAGTAAAAGAGAATTCATGCAGTAACAGATTAATTATTACTCATATATTTTAAGTTTGGGAAGCTATTACCTGTATGTGATTGTTTTGAACAAAATAACTTAGTCAAATCATGAATTGATAGAGCTAAATTATGGAATATTATACATCTGGAATAATATATATGGTTTGCTAAATCTTTAGATCTTGTGAAATTAACTATTAGGTTGTTCATAACTCCAGATAAGTGACAAATAATGTTCTTTAAAAAATCATTTTTTAAAATTTAAAAATGTCTCTAAGACTTAAAAAAAAAGTAGCTTATTTTTTTAAACAAATGAAACTGGCAAAAAAAGCGCAGATCGTTAGTACTACTGCATTTCTAAAAATGTGATATGGCATTTTGGCCAGTGCAGATGTTTGTAAACCTCTATCAATTAGAATTTATTTTTTCTATATTTGTCTTGGATTTTGAGTGCCCTTGGCTTATTGAACTAATTTAATTTTCCACAAACTTGTCAAGTATACTGTTATGAAGTAAGTTTGTTTCCTGTATATGTATCAGTTAAGCTTAATAAAGAAAAAAAATATTATAGGCAACATCCTACAAACAGTCCATTCTTTCATTATTTCTAGTAGTTCACACACCATCCATTGTCTTATTGCAAACTCCTCATGGTTTGAAAAGTCATTTACATATCCTTCAGGTGATGGTCACTCCTTTCTAAATGAAGAAGCACAAGTCATTACGCTATTAATAAAAATCCTTTTTCAGGTGAATAGGGCTTATGTCTGCTACATAATGAAACAGATTTTTAAACCAAAGATCAATTATAATTTCCCTCATTTTAAAGCAATAAGTACTCATGTCTCTGAATTCTGAATTACTTTTTGGATAATGGTACAGGATGTTTATTAAACTAAAATGCTTCAAACTTTACATCTTAAAAACTATTTTATTGAAATATGACTAACAAGGAAAAAGCTGTACATATTCCGACTATCCAACTGTATGGAGCTGGGCATGAGTATACATGACCATCAAGGTTATAAACGTATCTACTTCCTCCCAAAGCTTCCTTCTATATCGTCATCATCGCCATTACCATTGTCATTGTCATTTTTCATTGCCATCATTGTGGTTGTTGTCATTATTGTTGGAAGAATGCCGTATAAAACCTACTTGTGTAATAAATTTCAAACACATGGTACAGAATTGTCTTATACAGGACTATACTGTACAGTAGATATGTAGGCTTATTTCTCTTGATGTCTCATGGTGCCTTGTGAAAACTGTAAATGAGTTTTATGGATGTCTTTCTATCCTTTCAGAATTTAACTAGCTTTTATTTATTTTTATTTACTTTTTTTTTTTTTTTTTTTTTTTGTCTTTTGAGACAGTATCTCACTATGCAGTTCAGGCTGGCCTCGAGTTCACTGTGGAGCCCAGGCTGGTCTCAAATTTACAATATTCTTCCTGTCTCAGCCTCCCGAGTGCTGTGATTACAGGTGTGCACCACCATGCAGTTTAACTAGTTTTTTTTTTTTTTTTTTGTCTTTTTCGTTTTTATTGGTACCAGGGATCGAACTCACGACTGCCTGCTTGGAAGACAGGCGCTTATGCTGCTGAGCTAAACCTCCAACCCCCAGTTTAACTAGTTTTTAAATCTACCATTCTCTCTAACCTTTTATTATTTAATCATTATAACAATTTTACTGTGTTATTTGTTTCCACTTCCCATTGAAGAGTAAGGATTTCTTAAATTATGTTTTTCGGAAGATTGAAAGTTGGCTGATGACAAGGATTTTTAATAGGCAACTGTATTACAGGGGCTTTTAATATGAAATTGCATAATATTTAGTCCATGATTATCTCAAGTAGCCTTTGAGGAAGGACACTGTATTGTCAGAAGCACCATACCAGTTCTTCAAAAAGAAGGAAAACAAATTATTTCAGGATCTTAAATAGCCACACAATATGGGAAGTGTATAGGTTTGGCAGCCAGAACAGGACAAGCCCCTGAAATCATGTTAGTAACATTTCATATTTATTGAACTGTTTAGAATGATAACAGCAGAGCTGGAGAGAAATAAACTAACCACATCTTATCTCCATTCTTCATTTCTTCTGTTATTGTTAATAATATTTCATGTCTTGCAAGCAGTCTAGGATATATTTAAGCAAATGACAAAAATGTTGTATATTTGCTTTTTTGTTAACAGAACTAGATTGGATAGAACTTAAAATATTTATTAGCTCAAAACAGATTATCTATTGATGTGCACTTCCCAACAAAGACCAAATGAATTGTAATACTTACCTTTTATTAAAAACAAAGGATGTCTTTAAAATTTTGTAATTTGTGCCTTGAACTTTCAATTGTTCATGTCAGTGTCAAGAAAATCACTTCTTTTGTCATAAAGTAATATGAATATTAAATTATATTTTCTATTCAGCTGCAAAGATTTCAGTATGATTCACTCCTAGCTTGGGGAAAGATACATTTCAAAATGACTACAAAGGATGCTCAAAGGATAGCTCATACCCTACGGAGCATTCACTGCTGAGGATTCTGCTGCTCTGTGTATAGGAAGTGACTCCTTCAACTATTTGGCCAACACGGAGCCAAATTTTTTATTGGAAGGAACAAATCTAGAAACAGACAAATAGACATCTTTCAATGTTTGACACTCTGTGTGTATCGTAAGGGAAACCTGGGAAGAACATGGAGAAGGGACATACATAGAAATTTAGAGTCCTATGTGATCAGAGAATCAAGATTAAAATTCTCTTAACATTCTACACAAAGAAATGGATGCATCACATTTATGCATTTATATAAATATATAGAGGTGTAATCCCTCTATAATTGTGAATGGCCTTTTAATTATCCAGTGATTATTGATTGACTTCCCTAAACCTCTCTGGCTGGTTGCTTATACAAAAATAAAACTGTAATCTCAAGTAGAAAATGTTGCTTTTATTTTTGAAGACTAAATGTACAAGAAGGAGATTTGTGGACACATGCCTGGGGCATGATTTACAATGAAATACTTGCCCATTAACTGGGAGACTACTGGGGGTTTCTTCAGTTTCAATGAAACATATAAGAGTTTTTCACTGTTAAACAAATTATATTCTAATGAACACAGACCTAATGTTTTGAAACAGTTTCGGGAAATTAAAAGTTCAAATCAGAAAGGAAAAGTATGATTTTATGTCCTTGGTATAGATTTGGTTAATTGTGGCTTTAAATATCTAATTTAACACATTTATTATTGAAAATGACATGCAAGATCCATGCATGCACAATGTCTCTTATTAACAGGCAATATAAATATTTTTGAGTAATTAGGTTGTACCCAAGACATAAGAAACTTATCCTATGGACAATGTTTATGTAAAGATCGGAGGTATTAGTGTGAGACATATCTAGGAAATGCAATGTTAAATATGAAATTAGGTTATTAGAAATAATGGTTTAGTCTATTAGGTCATAGAAAAACCAAAACTTGTCTTGAGCTTCTTGTTAGTTTTGAAAATCATTTGTAGATAAGGTGAGGTACAGCTGATTAGCAGTATCAGATGAAAGGCAGAGTTCATGAAATAATCTACAGAATTGTTACCAGAGTGGGCCATTAGTTTGCTCTCTTATACATTTGGACAATTTAAATCTGTGGTTGGGGATCTATGGCTTGTGAGCTATAGTGGTCTGTTTGCTATTCCTGAAAGCTCTAAAAGTTTCCTTATCGCTGCCTTAAGTCGTCTTAAACCCTCTTTGAGATCTGTCAGGGGTTATACATTGTGTGCAAAACATAATTTGTTACTTTTCCAGTAAAAATACGTATTTGCAAAACATTATTTAGTTACATTTCATGCTTCCCCAAATGAATAAACAGGTGCCTGTGATTGCTCATTTGGAATAAAACTTGATTTAGACATGAAATGCTCAAAGCCTGGACAGAAGTCAGCTCCTTTTTTCCATATCCTTTGCTCCATTTCTACTCAGTCATTCAGTAGTGTCCTACAGACTTAAAATGAATGCCTATTTGCGTATTTCTGGCAAATTTTCAGATTAACTATTACCAAAAACTTGTTTTTGAATAGCTCATTCATGAGATTTCCAAAGTCCACTATTACCTTCCTAGAGACAGCCAGACTTTACAGTTGTTCTAAGACATTTTTTTAATATATTACATTCTTAGACATGACAATCACCCATGGATTTTTAATATATAGTTGTTTATCATTTTATATTATTATCAGAATTTCTTCAGGATATTCAGGAATAAAATTTGGTCACAGATTTAAGAATCCAGCTAATCTTCATTAAAACAATGCGCATAATTCCATAAACATACGTCTTTAAATATTACCATGCATTGGAATATGCAAATTACTTTCCATTTTAAATGATACATACTCTTGAAACTATTCATATTTTAAGAAATTTTCTCTCTTGTCACATGAAAATTTCCTTCAATATATAAGGATGATAGTTCCTAAAAGAAAATATTTCCAATTGGCAATATTATGTCATTCACATAATCCACTGCATTTAAATTTTTACTCTCTCACATAAAATGGTTGAAAAGTTTCATTATATTTTGAAAAGAACCAATATACATGAAATCAATATAAAATTCCAAAAGGAATGTAAATTTAAAAGCCAAATTAAATATGTCTGCCTTGTGCTGATGGCAGAAAAGGTGATCACACAATAGATCTTTCTTTTGACATGTTGGCTTTGAGCATAAAAGCTACATTTTCATTGACTTCAAATGTTCACTGCTAACAGAAATGGTGTAGGGCAGTTTCCAACACAGACTGCAAAACTGTTTTATAATGGTTTTTCCCACGGAAAAGGAAGCTATAGTAGGAAATGAATTCACACCTTTCAGAGTCCTGAAGAGGATGGGATCAGAGAGGGGCCCAACTCCTTTTGCATTTCGAGCTTGAATTCGAAAGTAATACATTGTATCAAGGTTGAGATCCATAATTTGGTGAGTAAGTCGATCACCACTGATTGTTTCCATAATCCAGTCATCAATTGGTATGTTCTTATCCAAAGTATAAAACAAGATGTAAGCTGCGTAAATAGACAAATGCATCTTTATTTAGTGTAATGAATGATGTAGTTCTGCTTCCAAATACTTATATTTCCCGAATATAATTTGCAATGATTATATGCCCACAATCTATAAACTACAGTGTTCAGTTTTGCTAGTAATTTTTGATTTATATTGCAAGCATTAGATAAATAATTGCTTCAATATACAGAATGAGAAAATGAAACAGGCCATTAGAAATAAAAATATATACCACATTTAAAAATGCATGCTTTCTGCTACTAATAAATTCTGATTATTGGCTTCTTGTGATTATATATATATATATATATATATATATATATATGCATGATAAAAAATGTAAAACAGTGATAGCTAGTCTATGTGACTCACTGATTTCCAATAAGGAAAATAAGTAGTATTTATTTTGCCTCTTGCTTAAATATTACACTGGAAAGTATAAAATATTGTACATGTGTAAAGTGTTATAAAAATAAATGATCACATTTTATTATTGTAATAACTCCATGAGGTTTGCAGGGGCCATGTTGTTCTCTTCCCCGAGATGATCATGCTGAGGGTGATTCAGGCTACCTGGTGAAAGGGCTGGAATGATTGTCTTTACCGTCTTAGTAAAGATCAAACACTATTTTCTCTATTCCAACATTGCTAAGCAAATAGATAAATACTGCTGGATAACTGTAGATAGCTAGTGCCTCAAAATTTAATAATGTCACTTGATAGTATTATTAATTCTCTGTGCTAGGGGGTGGGTTGCAGTAATGTTAATAGTGTACTCAGTGATGGTATTCTAATGTCCACCCAAACACATCAGGTATTCCTGTAAAGTACCCATATTGCAACATTAGTGATCTAGCTTTTGTTTAAACGTATTAATTAATAACTCTTATAATCCTAGGTAAAATTATATAGGGCTCATTTTGGATATCTTTCTTCTCTTCATTTCCACCAAAATTCTGCAATGATATCTATGTTATATAGGCCACAGAAGTCTGTAGCCTATTCTTATGCCTTCAATGCATTATTTGTAAATAACTTCCTTAAAAACAACAGTCTTCCATGAGTCACCTTTCTTTCTGAGTCCCTCTTCCCACATCTGGTATGGGAACTTTTATATGTTCTTTATCATGATTACATCACAGAGTTCTTTGACTCAGATTCACTTTCCTCCTGAAATAATTATGTACATATCCACATTTCAGCATCAGCCCCTAATGGATTCTTTAGGATAAAGCAATATTACAAATGACAGCACTCAGGAGCCCATTTATCTTAAAATCTGACCAATGCTTAAACTCCTTTGCATTGGATTTAACTTTTTCTGGTGTTTTCCACAGCTGTTTAATCATGAAATTACCAGAAGAATGAATATGAAGCATTACAAGTAGACTCTAAGGCAAGGCTCTTGGATTTACCAACTGGATGAACATTCTGTGGTGCCTTCCAATTACTTCTATCCCCTGATTGGACACTTTTGTGTGATCCTTTCTGTCTGGTCTTAAATCAATTCTAAGACTTGCTTCTAATGAACACAACAAAAGAGATGAATATCTGCTCATAATTATATGACTATGATTTCTGTTTTGATAACAAACTCTATAGATTCTCTCCTTTCGGATAAAACAAGATGCCAAATGGAGATCTATGTAACAGAAAGTAGGAATGTTTTTTGACCAAGCAGCAAAAAGCTGAACACATAAAATTATAAGCAAATATTTCTCTAGTCAAATAAAAGATAAAACTTTGACCACATCAACACCTTGATTTGCAATCTTGCAAGAAATCCTAAATATGTAACTAAATTATGCTGTTTCCAGACAACAAAAACTGAGATACAAATATGTGTTGTTCTAAGTTACTAAATTTGTGCTCATATTGTCTCATATACAAATAGATACATGTAGATGATTTACGTGATCAAGCAAGGTCAGGAATCACTGCTTTAGTGAATAATGAGTCCTATATATATATTTTGACATTTGTTCCAATGTCAGTGATACAAATGCAGAGGTTTCAAGATTTTGGAGATCAAAAGAAGATAAAAGACTTGGTAATATAACAAATGATATAAAATTTAAAAATGCTATGTGATTCCTTTGATGAATTAATTAAAGTTGGAAAACTAAAATTCAAGGGACTGTAATGTATTTTAGATAAAGGAGTTGTTTTCTGACTCATGTATATCCATACATTTAAAGTCTCCATCAGCAAGATCAACAAAATATCCTCGTATTTTTGGACTAGAATGATTCATATCTGTAAAGAACCATGTATCTTGAGAAGACAGCCTGGTAAGAGTCGTTTTAGTTTTTATTTAATTTTTAGTTTTCATTATATGCATATTAGCTCTTTAAAAGGATAAAAACCTTCCTTTAGTTTAGCAGTCATATCTTATATTACCTTTTTATGCCTCAACAAAATCTAATAAGAGTCTTCACATAATAGATATTGAAACTCCTACATTAAAGGAAATTCTCTAGTCTGAAAGCACACAAATTTTATATTCATGATAGCTAATGAAATTGTTAAAGTTTTCATGGGCTGTTATAAGTATGGGTAAAACTGAATTTTTGGAGAATTGTGTTCACACCTGTGGTGAGCCACACTTATTCCTGATTTTATTCATTTATCAGATGAAAGAAAATATTTCTCTAACTCTACATAAAAATTATTTTTTGAATATTTTAAGTGACAATTCTGGAGTCAAATAACTAAAGTTGAATGTTTGAGCATCAGGTTCTGACCATTCCAAATTGTTAGGCAATTTCCTAATATTAATGGGGAAGCCTAACCTTTTTGTAATGTAATTTGAGAGCTAAGATAGTGAACATGAGCAGATTATGCCATTAATCCTAAAATGTGGCCTCCAGGACAGCACGCAATTTCATTTAGGTACGCAAGTTTGGTACATTTGAAAGACATCGAATATGTTAATGATAATTGTTTAGATCCTTTTATAAAGTCAATTATATATAGATTGGCAATCAGACTATTAGTCAAAAAAACCCATAACACATAAAACTCGAGTCATTTATAGGAAAATGAATGCACCTTGAGACCATAATGGTGAATAAATCAGAGTTTAATTTTAAACTTAAATGTCGTATGATTTCTCTTATGTGAAAAACTCAATAAATAAAATATGAAATAAAAGAGAGATATATTATAGGAAAAAAGGAAAAAAAGTTATTGTATCCTGGCATGGACAATGTATCTAAAAATATACCTTGATTTAGTACAATTGACATCTTATCTTATAGATTTCTTTCTTTCCTTTTTTTTAACCTTATGGATTTCTACAGCATATGTTGAACAAAATCATCGGTTTATCATTACCTTCATATGCTTATATATTTTTTCTCTATGTTTAAGCCTCTGTTTTTACTTTTATTCTCCTTTTCTACCTTATTTTTGTCTTACCACAACTGGCCAAATAATGAGGTATTATGCTCTATCATAGTTTGGAAAGTCTGAGATTGTTAAATTGACTAGGCACGTGAATATTTGAATCATTTGTGTAAATGTAACAACACGCAGCAATCATTCTGACTATACTTATAAAAATAGGCAGTTGTAATTCTTCAAGCAAAGTGAGAGAATGTATTCAATTCCTCCCATCTCCTTTTCTGAACTTTGTATTCTTTTTCTAATTCTATATAGATTCTTTTCCAAGGATCAGGTAGGCTCCTAAGGATTGGGAAGATCAAGCTATGCAGTATGATTCTTATTGACAAGCTAAACCCAGTGAATGCTTTTAATTTTGAAAGAAATGATTATGATAAACCATTACTAAAAGTTTTAGATTTTCTCCAAGTAAATGGAAAAGGGATAAAGAAAAAGCCAAGATTTTTTGAATTTCCAACTTTGCAACTAGGTAAGTTAAGGAGCGTTTTTAACAGATGGGAGTAAGAAATGCAGATACTTTGATTTCAGTGGAGATCCACAATCTAGGTCTTCAACCTATTACAGGACATAATGACACATTATTTGGCCAGTTGTGCTGGGCAATATAAAGAAAAATAAGATAAAAAAGGGAAGATTGTGGAAGACAAAGACTAATAAGATGGGCACATGCAGATGTGTAATGTGAAGTTGGATATGTGCATTTAAATCTTTTTTTGTCATAGAGATACAGATTAAAGAGATATAACTGAATATTACCTGTTTCATGCACTCTAGTAGAGACACTTTTCCAGTGAAGTAATAAAAGAAATTAAAAGTCCTACATGCTGAGAAGGAACACTTAAGGAACAGGTAGAAATGTTTAAGAAGAATGGTTTGTGGATTTTAAAAAATTCAAGAAAGGAGAGAATTTTGAGGGAGAAAAATTGGCCTAGAATAACAAAGACATAAAAAGGAATATAACCTTATCTGTATCATACTTAAAAAAACAGTCTCTGAAATACCCAATTTCTCTCTTTCAATTGGTCCCTAACTTGAACAGTGTTGAAACTGCATTTATTTTAGATCAATGTTTTACAATTCAGGTTGTACACTTAAAACTAAAATGAAACTTTTTTTATTTAAATGAATTAAAACTCAGTTGAGAATCACCAATTTAGGTCAAAAGATAACTAATAAAATTAGAGCAAAACATAATGTAACCTAACAGTGGAGGATGGTTCTCAGTTTTTAATCATAACTGCTAATTCTTGATTATCTGATTTTGGATGAGGTTTTTACTCCAGTGAGCTAAAAACTCTTTATTTGATAGTGAAATAATACAAATATGTGATCACATACTGTACAATATTAACATACTAAGTAAGATATTAAGCATGTAATAAATAATATATTTTGAACAAATTTCTTCAGAAAACATGAAATTCAGTTCTTAAATTTCTAGTTTATGATCACAGAACTAAGAAACTAGAATTATCTAAATTTCCTCCTTTAGGTTCTTTAAAAAAAACTTCTTAAGGTAGTTAAATTTACAAATTAATGGACTGGGTTCTATGAAAAGCCCATTAGTGAAGCCTCTTTCTAGAATGGATTTCTAATTGGAATAATGGCAGATTTGCTTCAGTGCCTATTGGCCATCAGGGATTTTTCTAGGCACTTCACTATTGTAACCATTCTATGAGAAACATGCTGTTTTCATCCTTACTTTGTAGGTAAGGAAGAGAGATTAAGGGAAATTAAATGATGCCTCCTCCCCCCAGGAGCTTCCATTCTTAAATACCATTCTCTATGATTATCCACTTGAAGGTATTAGGAAAACAAACAGACAATACAACTTGGAAGCACATCCTGTGCAGTCATACCTGTGCCCTGCCAAACTGGGACAGAGTTCACATTTTCCTTTGATTGCCATGAAAAGCTGAGTGTAACCAGTCTGGGCCCTCTGCCTAGTGGCCTGGTATTTTGAATATTTTATCACCCTATTCTCTAGAAATAATTTGAATGAAATAACCAAAACAGAAATGAAACAGAAATTCTCTGAAGGGTTCTTAGTGTTTATTCCCTGATGGGTTGAATCAAAATATCTCAACTTGATAATCACAACTTTGTTACAATAAATGAGGCAGGCTTTTAAAGGCAAAAAATAATGACTTGCATACTTTCATTGTGAAAGAATGGAGTTTCATTAGTGAGACCCATTGAACAGATGACTTTAAAGCATGTGGACATTTCTGGTACATTCGGTGATATTTTTGTACTTAGAAATATACTGCTTAGATTAATTTGTATTTCTTGCTATGGTCCAGACTTCCTGCATTCTCCTGAAAAGTAAAATTAAGCTTACTCGCAGAGTTAAAAATATATTCTATTGTTTACATTGACTATTTGGAGGTATTTAGTTAAATAAAAGTGGAGAGCTTGAGTGCAGGATATAACTTCATCCTTCACAAAATAAATGTATATTTTTCATAAGAACTTGCTTGCACTTAGGCAATTTTTATTGTTTTTCTTAAATGTACGTATTATCCATTGATTTATCATGTGCTTATAAATAACTTTTTATGATCACATAAGATAAAAATATATCAAAAGCTACAAAAGTACTGAAACAGAACCAATGAAAACAGATCACAACTCTGAGAGGGGAAATAAAAGAAAATTAAAATGAGCCAGATTCAGTTTTAAAAGCCTGGCACAATGACAACTGAGCACACAAGATCTGAGGGAGATTTTATACCTTCATTTCCCATATTTGTCAGCGCAAATGAAAATTCGGTTTGCTATTTAACTAACAGTAATTTCCTAGAGACAACAAGTCTTCAATTTAAATTTCGATCACATTTGGAATTTTCACATTATCTACTAATTTTGCAAAATTCAGAATGCAACTCACATTGTGAGTGTGCCATCTGAAATTGCTATTTCCTTGCTTATCTCTATCACAGAATGACTGAATCACTCTGTTAATTTACAGTGCTGCAATCTACCTCTTATGTGCAAAAAAAGAAGAAACAGAGTGACTCTTACATGTTCCTAACCCAATAGTTCAAGTTAATTAGACTATAATGTGCACATTTTGAGTTATACAATATTTTTCATAATAATTATATGCTATGGAGACATCTATTAAAAGCCAAAAGTGATCATTTAAATGCAAAATCTCTGATAGAACTCCATTATATTTTTCATACTAAATTAACATTACAGGCTTCTGATGGGTGCTTTAATTAGGCATTGATGTTATCAGCAATATTTGGCAAAATAAAATCTGTCATTGTATAATATTCATTATGTTCAATTTCTGTCAGTCATTATTAAGTATTTTCTGAACCTTATGATTTAACTAAGAAGCTAAAAGCTAAATGAGAAATTAAAAATTTCCAGGCAAATTTCCTTCGTATGTGTTATACAAGAAATATGTGGTTATTAGGAAGCTTTTGTACTTCGTAAGTGTCAAACAACCAGCTTCATTTTACATTTACACATAGAGGCACTGCATAGCAAAGTTATCTTAGTTCTCCAAGTGCTAAAAATCCTAAGGTCTATCCTATTAAAAATACATATCTTTCACAAAGCAACTCAAATGAAAGTGGTATGTATGTGTGTTTGCATGCACCATTAAAAAATTTTATGGTCTCTGGGGGTCAAAGAGTGATCAGCGATTTCAAGACAGGAAATAACACATGAAAAGTAAGCTAAGCATGTGAGCATTCCTACAGCAAGGCAGCGCAATGCTGGGAAAGAAAAGCGGTGCTTACCAGTAATTTTACCATTGGCTTCCAAGGGAGGCTGCCAGCTCACAATGACAGCACGAGGCTTCCCTTCCCGGGTAATGACGGTCAAATCCTTGGGAGCTGAGGTCGGGGCTGCCAGATGAGACAGAGACAAGGCCTTGTTATTGGTTGTGAAAGAAAAGAGACACTGGTGGGGCTTTTAATCATGATGCTGATGCACAGAATCTACCAGCAAGTGTAACATCTTTACTCTGCCATTTACAATTTATTTCAAGGACTTGAATTACATAAGCAAACAAGTCTTAAAAAGTAATGACTTTGCGTGGAAGTGAAGTGATACTCAAAGGAGTGACTGTAGAGAAGGACTTAGGTGGGGAGATGACTTTGATGACTATATATTTACAAGACACAGAATTCTGCTCCACCTGTAGTTTAGAAATGAAAAAGTTGCTTAATTCTTTATTACCTTACAAGCAAGACAAGAGTTAAAGCCCAGGTCTAAACATGAAGCGTAGGCACCATATTGATGTCTTATAAATATGAAGTAAATTTGAGAAGTGAAATACAGGAATTCAGGAATCGATGAGGAGCTTCAATTTGGCATGAAATAAGATGGAATGAAACTGGCATGAAATAACTTGAGATGAAACTTCTCTTACATGGTGCAATTGATGAAGATTTAAGTACATTTTAAAGATAGAAGAAAATTGGCTGACCCATTGCAGTATTTTTCAGGCCTCTTCCACCTCATTTTCTCATTCCCTATTCTTAGAGAACTTGTCTTCTAGGTAGTTAACGATGCTACAGTTCTATTGGCTACACTCTTTGTTGCCTCTAGTTTGACACAGGCAGATTGAGGATATAACTAGGCTGTAGGTTTCGGTTGCTGAACAACCTCTGGGCACCAAACAGGAATTCTGTATATTCTAAGTTATATAGAACTTGGTTTCTAAATCTGTTTAAACTTTACTCCAAGTATTCACTTTGGCTCTTCAGTTTGTGATATAGTATAGAACTTGTATGTTACCTGTGTTTTATTTTTAGCATCTCTTACTGTGTTTTAAATACGAGCCAAACAGAGAAAAGATCCGCTATTCCCATCTATCATTTCATTTGCTATTTCGCTGAACTTAAGGGTTTAAACTTTTGAAAAGAGAAAGGAGAAAAGACAGCATGAACGAGGAAAAGAAATAGAAAGATGAGTAGAAAGAGGAAGAGAAGTACACAAGGAAGAAGTGGAGAGAGAAGCAGAGGAAGATCTATGTGAAATGTAGTTGGTCTTGATTAAAGAAATTGTGATATCAAAAATCAGATCAGAAACATTATTAAATAAGGAGCATTGTTATAGCAAAATATCAAAGAATAATACTTTAAGCAGAATTATTCCATAAAGAGCTCACTCGAAATATTTCTAGATCATAACATAGAAAGCTAAAATACAGATTAGATTATGATAACAGGTATAAAAGGGAATTTTAAATTATAGAAGAAATTAAAAGACATATTTTTACCTAATCAGAACAGATTTTCTATTATTTGTTTGACATTTACTTAGAAAACAGACAAACGGTGACTTGATTGCTTCACGTAATCTCTTTTACTATTAAAAAACTTTTCAGCTTCTAATATTAATACGTTAATTGTTCAAAAAATTAAGCATTAATTGTTCAAAAAAAGATCAGTCTATGTCTAACCTTGCTAACAGTAACTTCAAGTACTGTTTAAGATCTTTTTCTAGAATCTGTGAGAATGTTGGTAAGTAGAAATTTTAGTATTGAAATTAATAGTTAGATTTAGTATTATCATACTAACTGCATTTTGTAATATTTACAGAAAAATGTGCCTTAATAACTTCAATGATTTCTAGTATTTCCTGGAGTACACCCCCTTTCTGTTCCAGAAACACAGTGACCTGTGGCTGTAGAGGAAGAAACAAGGAAGAGGTCATTCTCTGCAAAAGTCTGCAAAGTTTCAACTAGGCTGAGGTGTGAGTTTAGGGATCTACTGCACAGCGTGGTGAGCACAGTTCCAAATAACACCTTGGTTCTTTCAAAACTGCAACAAGAATAAAGTGTTTAACATTCTTACTGCAGATAATAAGATAAGTAGGTAAGGTAATGGATACACATATTTGATTTACTAAAACATCACACTGTATCCCAAATATGCCCAAATTTTATTTGTCAGTTAGAGACAAATGCATATAAGTATAAAAAGAAATTCTTTGTTGAATACTTATTATCTCTGAATTAAGTATAGATAATTAATGCTAGACATCTATTTATAGTTTATTTCAGTTTTTGTTTGCTTTTATAGCCTAATTTTCACTTGCAGATGCATGAACACTGCTCCAGTCATAGCTTTTCACAAGTGTCTCTTGAACATAATTCTTTCCTTCTTCCTTCCTTTTCCTTCTTTCCCTTTTTTGCTTCCTTCATTTATTCTTCCTTTCTTCTCTCCCTCTTTTCCTTCCTCTCTCCCATCCTCACTGCACAGTACTGGGAATAAACACAAGGCCACACAGCATGCTAAGTGAGATCTATCTATCTGTCTGTTTGTCCTTCTATCTATCCATCCATCCATCCATTCATCCATCCATCCATCCATCTATCCATCCCTCCATCCCTCCATTTTTCCCTAACTGGCCAGGCTAACTTGAAACTTGCTATCCTGCACTGGTGTCCCAAGTAGCTGGTGGGACAGGTATGTGCTGCTGCCACTCCTGGGGGACACATCATCATTCTGACATCTGCTTGGCTGTCTTTGACATGCTGCTCCCTCCCTCTGGAAGTCCTTACAGTGGTACCTGATTCAGCCAGGACATGGCTAAGCACTCCCTCCTTTATATATCTGGGCAGAACTTACACTTTGTGTGTTTGCTTTAATTTCAACTTATCCAAAGTTTTGTTTTTGCATTTCCCATTGTTTATTCAGGACTTTTTCAAAATGCTCTTCTCAATTGAGTTATTTATTCTTTTAAAAATATATTCTTTCTTTTTTTGTCTGTCTCACAGCCTGACAGCTACAAATGAAGGTTATTACACACGCATGATTAACATTGTGCCCTACTACTCAAGCACTGCCCTCCGATATTTATTGCTCTCAGACAAATTTTTCCCACATTTAAAGTTCTTCGCTACATGCATGAATGGATGATAATTATCAAGATTTGAGATATTTCAGCAATGCAGAGGCTTTTGTTACTTAAGACTTCTCTATACCCCGCCTGTTTCCTTCCCTTTTAGAGAAACACTTTGCTTTTTTGTCTGGAGAACAAACTCATATATGTCAGGAGTTTGGTAGCAACAACCTACTTTGTGGTCTTCATTCCACCCTTTTTAAGCTTGTGTGATCACTTCTCCAGCCACTAAGATTTCATCTGCTTTCTGAAAACTTGTATATGCACACAAGCAAGGAAAACATAGAATCCAACCACTGTGACACAGCACCTGCCATGGCAATCAGGTAGACCACCCCTCATTTCTAAAATCTGGCTCATGCTTGTTTGAAACATCTGATTATTTCATATATCCTTCCTGTTGTTTTTATTTTAGTTAAATTAATTGGAATAAAATAAAATAGCCACCATCTGGACAGAATGAAGTATTTTACATGAAGTATTTGCCAGCCACTTTTATCTTCATTGTGAGCCATTTCAGCACCTAAAAATATAGATCCACAGTTCTTGATGTGTTTGTAGAGAAAGAAGCAAACCTAGAGTTATTTCATTCGCTTCATTTTCTTCTCAGAGTTACAAATCTGCAGACACTTGCAAATTGCTTCTAGCTTCTCATCATCACCAAGGGACCCCATCCACATGCTATTTACACCTCTATCCAGATCATTATCTGATTTGACAATTGCCCTTTCTACTAACCACATTTCTTAAAGTGAATTATCTTTTTGTCAGCATTGTGTCTCACTGCTGGTGTCCATACAGCCTAGGAAGTTAATTAGAAATCAATAGGGTGCATTTATCAAGATGTTGATGTGCATTTTATGCTTATGAAAGAAAAAAAATGAATTTGGTTGCTATAACGTAAAATAACTACCTTTTCACTATAGAAAGATTGTGGTGTTTTTGTTTTGTTTTTTTACTAGTTTGCACTCCATTTTTGTCTTTTCAAGTAAAAGGAAAAGAAAGTTCCTTGTGTGTCATCCATAGTATGTGTCTCTTTCTTCTTTTTTTCCTAAAAGGCCATGAACATTGGCATAAAAGCAGAATTCTTAAGAGCAATAGTTTGTATGTGTGTAACGTAAAGTAGAAGAGGAGAATGTTAAAATTAAATTAGATTAACTAGAAAAAACATGTTCTATAAAGAACTCACAAAAATATAAACATAGTAGAAATCTAAAAGGCAACAGTCTGAGAGAAAAATCAGAATTTCAATTGTGTGTGTGTGTGTGTGTGTGTGTGTGTGTGTGTGTGTGTGTGTGTGATGGTTAGAGATCAGACCCAGGACTTTGTACATGCTAGGCAACCACAAGCTACTTTGGCAGCTATGGTTGCCAAAGCATACTCTGCTATGATCTACGTCCTCATCTCCCCAACAGATCAATTTCTAGTGGAAAAGAAACTCACTTTCCTCAGAGAAGGGCTTTATTGGCATATTATTTTATTCGAATTTTGTAATGTATTTTTTTCTCACAAAAATGATATAACATAAAAATAATTTTCCCAGTTAAAAAGTATATCTTCTTAGAGGTTAGATTTGTGGGAACTGTACTTGTCAAACACATTGCATCCCTTTTAACATTTTAAATGCTATGTTTGTGAATCATGACAAATCTACTGATTACATTTACAGGGGACTGTTATTCTTGGCTCAAATTACTTCAAATTGATAAAGGTTTTCCATTTTATTGCTGTTTCCAAAGAGTGAACAAAACCACCTGGAAACTTCTTCCTATATTCAGCTGTGGTTTTTCAGGAATAGTATCCATGAAACTACAGTTATAATATATATCTAATTTCTTTCAAGTTAGCAAATACCATGACTATGGTCAAAGACAGTTTAGGACAGAGTTCAACAGATGAATTTCTGTTCTTTACCTAAATGTGTTGGAAAGAAGATTTAATTAGAAAACTCCTAAATTAACACCTTTAGGAAGTCACATATTAATCTTGCAGTCACATGATTTAATTCATTGGAGACTCATTTTCTCCTTTTCTACAGTAATATTAACTACAAAGCTGCTGTGAACTATGAATGATAAAATATCTTATATATGGTCAAGTTGTTATTGCAAAACCACAGTGCTCAACTTTCTGACTTTCCTAAAATGTCAAAAGTAGACACTCTGAGGTTAGTCTCGCTTTACGTACCTGCTTCATACGTGGTTGCATGTGCAGTCATGCTCCATGTGCTGGACCTCCGGTTTTTTGTTACCATGACTGAGAACTCATACATCGTGTTTGGTTTGAGGCCTGTTGCTGTGTAACTGAGAGAAGTTGTATCTTCTGACTATACAAGTGGGAAGAAATTAAAAAAGAAAAAAAGAACTATCAACTTGATAAATCAAGACAAGTAAAAAGAGTAATAAGCCAGAAAAAACCAAGTCTATTTCAAAGTAGTAGAAAAACGAGGACAGAGATTGACATTATGTCTTTTTGTCAACCAGTTCCCATGGGCTGATTATATGTCTAAAATAAGATTGATGAAAATCAGGTATTATGTTGTTGGAATGTATGGCTGCTGATAAATTTTCATAAGTGATGCAACAAGCACAACACAGGGCAAACAATTTTCCTTCTGTCAATTCCACCCCTGGAAGGTGTCTGTCCTGAGCTGGACTTAAATGCATTTGCAACAAAAATCTAGGTAAATATTATACATTTCACATTGATCGTTTTAGATCATTATTATTTTCCACTGGTAGCAAACATAACTTATTAGAGTTTATTGCTTATCTCATATTAAGAAAAGATTTTTAAGGCACACATTTTTAGTGCTTTCAGTATCTATTTAGCTCTTTAAAAAATGAAAAAAAAAGTGATTTGTGTCCTGCTTTTCTTCCTTTTTGTCTACTTTACATTAAAGAAACATGTAACTGTGGTAACTGGAGTATTTCAGAAAGGAAGAATAGATTGGATAATTAAATATGTTGTTGGGGTGTGAAGTGGTGTGAGTGCTGTGTAAGTCTTCTGTATCCGTTGCTTGTCTTTTAAACAAGAAGTTATCTTAGTAGAACATAAATAAATTAGGTATTTACTGCTGTTTTAAAAATTCAAAAATGGTCATAAAAAAAAGCAATTTAGCCCTCTAAATTGAAGCATTTTTATAAGTGGTCAGGCAAAGTTTTTAAACTATTTTTTACCTCTTATATGTATGTATTGTGCTTGAAATTTAGATCTTGACCTTTTTCCAAACTTATTTATATGTAAACATCTATATTGATTATATTTTTTATATATCTATGCCTTAGAGAGTTGAGGAAACATTTTTTCTCCCTTAGATATCTTATCTATCTCAACTTTACTACTCTAGTATGATAAATCTTTTTTATTCTTCTGGGAAACTCCTAAGATTCACTATAGCTTACTTCATATCTTTACCTATGAAAATCCTACATTTTCATTACAATATCAACTAGATATTTAACTGCATTAATAACATTTTGATGATGTGTCTATCCATTCTATTAGAATGCTGACCTCAGAAACATTTATCAGAAGTTCTCCTTAAATATAGCTATGGATGTGTCCTAAATAAATGTAAAATATTTTGCATGATCAGGATGATGGATTTCACCAATTAAAACCCAAACTAGGCAGCTAGTATGTAGCATGTTGATATGTAACTTCTAGTAATGACTCACTTCATGATCATTCCAAGACCTCTGAATTTTACAAATTGAAATAAAAGGGAGAAATAAGGCAATGATAAATATTTTTCATTGGAGGGCAAAAACTTTAGAAACAGCCTCTTTGTACACCACTAGATTTTAAGATGCCCCTGAGCAATATAATCTTCATTGATGGTCCAAAGTTACGGATTGGCATTTACAAATACCATGAATTTATTCATTTTATCTGGAAATGTGTAGAAGACTACTGATTATCTTAAACCATTAAACCTAGGACTATTTTATAAAATCATGACAGGATACTCAGACAATGTCTCTTTGAGCCTTAGTTCCCTCATCTGGACAGTGTAAATGATCACAGAACTGATCTCATAGCATTATTTAAAGTGTGACACAGAGTAAAAGAGAGTGCCAGCATAGCTATAATAGTAGCTACTATAATAGTTCATGCAATGTCTCACAGTATATATTATTTTAGAAATCTGTTGGATTCCTTTTTGCATTGTATCTTGAGGAATAAAATTGAGTCATGTCAAAATATTTTCTGTAACTTTCATAGTATATACCTATTAAGTATTAATTGACTGTTGATGAATTCCTTTTGAATGGAAATTGATGTAAAACTGCATGTAAGTAAATACTTCGATAAAAAGAAATGACAGAGAATCCTTTTATTTTATCAGGAAGGCCAAAGGAGTGTTTTGGAGAATCAAGCCATTAGTATCAGGATTATGGCTTGATTTGAGCATAAACAATGTGCTCAAATTGGGAGAGACCCTGCATGATCCTATGAGATCAGCTGAGTCTAGCTTTACTTCAAGGATTATTTACATGCCTTCTACATCCTTCTCAAGGAACATGCATACATATACTTATATATAAGTACTCTTATATATAAGTACTCTTCTCTATGAAGAATTTTTTATAGTAAGCATGAATATCTGTATCACGTAGATTAAAAAAACAAGCCTAAGTTAACTGATGTAACAATATATAGTGAAGTCAATTCTTAAGCCCAGATCATTTGATTCTCTATATTTTTAAAATTTTGTGCATGTGTATAAAGCTACCATAGGGAAAGAGATTAAGTGATCGATAAAATAGTGACTTGAAAAGTACAAAACAAAGAATCTATTGCTCTACTTATGAAACGTGTACTTTCTGGTAGACCACATATATTCTGCATTTGTATTTCCTACTTTAATTTATCTGACTTTTTCCTCTAAACCTCCTCATCTCAGATGTGAATATAGAATGGTGTGTGTGTGTGTGCGTGTGCACGAGTCTGCATGTGTACGCATGTAAGCAGATGCTGTATCACAAATTGAAAGGCTTATGTCAGGGGACAGAAAGAAGCAGTTAAAAATCTTTTTTGAGTTGTGTTTTTCTGTAGAGCATTCTTTAGGGAACACAATAATTCTGTGTCTATTGTAAAAACTTATTTAACTGAAATAATTTGCCTCAAGAAATTCTGGAACTCAAAATATTTTGCAGAAAACAATCATTGTCCTTGGGATTATTTGCTATTCTAGCGAAGAAGCTATGATCATTCTGTGACAGGAATGTATTTAAAAAGTATTAGTAATTATGAATATAAAAAGTTTAAAATGGGAAAAGTAGTCTTTTAAAAGTAAGCTTGAAATTGAGTAATCTATATTAAGATATATTTTAATACTGTCATGTGTTTTTTGGTTGTCTTTTATGATAATCTTATCTTTATGGGTGTGGTGAGTCTTAAAATCTTATGATGGAAGGAGATAAATGGAGTACTTACAATGTATTTTATATCAGTGATAATATGTGGACTCTCCTGGAGAGATTTTTAAAGTCCAGCAGAGCTGCAGTACAAAAGAAAACTGTTTCTTAAATAATTTCAACTAAAAATTGATTTATGATGAAATGTGTATTTTTGGCCATTTAAAGGTTGGAGGACCAGAGAAGCAGATCCAGTATGACTACAGGAAGAAACAGGCAAATTGACAGAATTACTGGTGGAATTGTGCTACTGTCTCTAGGGCTGAAGTCAGAAATCCCCAGAGCACACTTTCATCTTACACCACATCACTATCAGAATGAGGCTGGATTAAGGGAGATGGTTTTCAGTAAAAGGGACATTACACAAAGGATACAAATTCTTGCTGAGCGCTACCACAGCATAGAGGTAAAAGCAAAGATAAAAAGACAAAGAAAATCTGGAGCGCCAGGACTGAACTATTTGATTCCTTGGTTGTTCTGTGACATACATGTTTTTGTTGTTAAAACTTCTGTTTCTTCCTATATCTTCAGTTTGGGAATCATTAGATTCATAAATCTTACATATGTTTTTCCAAATATTAACTCACTTGAATACCTCAGGGTTTCTTTTATAGCTATGGAACTAAGTGTTTATCTCATTCCAAAATTATACGTGATATGCTAGATAAGAAAACTAAAATGTGTTTTTTTTTTTTTTTTTAATTTCAAAGTAAATGACCTCTTGATCTCGAACCAGAACAGGTACTTACACTTAGCAGTTACTTTGTCATCACTCGTGTATTGCCTGGGTGTACTACCAGTGTGTCAGGGTTAGGAGACAGCATGATAGTTTCGATTGGCTCTGACTTTGTTACAGAGCTGCCAGGTTGACTGGTAGAAGTTTGAAAAAGATAATTAAAATGCTTCAAATATATCCCTAAGGGGCTCTTCAGGGAGTTCTGAGATAACTCAGTGATGAGGCAAAGAACTGGGCTCTTTATTTCTTTATTTATTTTTGAGTACAGGGATCAAACTCATGACCTTACACCTCAGGGCTCTCGTAATTCATATTAGTTTCAGAAATTTTCTTTTTTACAGGAGGGTGTTTTTAAGACAAAACAAACAAGTCAGTAGTGCAGTGAACCTTTGGCGCCTGTGTTTTTCTTTTAAGACAAAAGATGTTAATGTCTTAGTTATTTTTTTTTTTTTCCTAAACAAAAACCTCAGTATTCGGGTTTAATGCCAATGTGACACTTTGTGATAAATAACTGGTTTTGTGATGCAGTTGAGTGCATATCTCTAAAAGATTCACCATCACAGTATTAGAGTGCTTTCTAAAGATGGTGTAAAAATATCTTCATGATATTTACTCTTAGTTATATTCACTGGAACATGGGTCTCTTTGATATTAATGAGGATACCTTTGGTGTCTACATACATTCCAAATAAAAAGAAAAATTTCAAAATATATCCAGAAATTATTCTTGGAGACCTGATGTATTCAAAAAAGGAAAATGACATTCACCATATAAATTCGAATGACTGATACAAACCTAATATCCAATGAAATTCAAGCAGTGTTTTGTAGCTCTTAATGTTTTTCTACCTGATCCTAAATTTGTTTCTTTAGAACTAATTACCTCATACTAATTTTAGATACTGAGTAACTGAAATGCTTTGTTTCCCCTTATAAAGTCTCTTCAACAAACTGACTCATGAGGGTCCAGAAAGTACTTAAAACTACACATCACAAAAATGACAGCTCATTTTAAATTTTATGCAACCAATGCAACTTCACCTTATACTTGGCACTGGCAGAAAAGCTGGTCCTCCACCGGACAGTGTACAGCCGTACTTCGGATGACTTTTGGTTCTTGGGGACAGAGTTGTCTGCCCAGCTGACCCTCACAGCCTCATGGGTAAGAGCCACAGCTTGCACACCTACTGGTGGGAGCATGGGGGTGGAGATATCTGGGACGGAGGTGGGGAAATCGTCAAGCAAAGGGTAATAGTCAACTGGGTCAGTGGGATCTGGGTTAAAAACCCAGAAAATGAAACAAACACATAAGTATGTAAATAAAAGCATTAAAAATAAATATCAGTGGTAACACATCACAATGAGTTAAATGCATGGCAATAGTGATGAGAGGGAACATGAGAAGAACAGAAAAAAATGCAATTAATTTAATGAGAAAACACATCAGCAATAGTAGTCCCACATCACAACATAATACTTCTATTCTCACTTTCTTATTTTTCATCATATTTGTTACCAACTCTAGTTATAAATTATAAAAGTCCATATTTGTTGAAATATTTTACCTTGCTATTTAAAAACATAGCATAATACTTATCAATTTTATTAATATGAATGATTTAATATAGCAAATTAAAATGATGCTTCTGGATTATTTCATCCTGCAAAGGAAATAAATACTTTTGAATATCTGGATTTTTTTCTTGTCCTTTAATTTGATGATTAAATTTCTCTAATGCTTTCATATTTTTTATCTCATGTCCACGCAAATGTTGCTTAGGCAACAAACAATAAAGAACAAAACAGCTTGATTTGTGTATAGTCATAAGTGCATAAAATCAGACTGATCAAGTTCATGTCAACTGATACTTGGTAATTAGGGTTTGGACAACAAAAGGTTTGCCGGGTTGAATTAGTTAACGAGAGGTGTATCAGTGTTATGTTAACCATAAGATCAGGTAATGAGCTCTGTTCTCAGTGTCAGTATGCATTGCTATATTCTATAACTCTTGCTCTAAAATTTTTAGTTTAGGAACACTTTATTTGTTGGATGGGAAGATGGAATTGATTACCAACATAATGATGAAATTTGTACTGAGATGTGGACATGCTTTGATCTGCAATATGACAGAGATCTGCAAGATGATGCATGTGTATTTACAAAGTTCTCCAATAAAAAATCCATTGAACTTATTTTCACCTAGAGAGATGCTGAGATTTTGTGGCAATGATGATAATTCAGTATGAGCATTTTAATTTTCACTTAATATACTTACATTTTAAAACTTAATCTTTGTATTATGTCATATGTATTTTCACTAACAAAAAATATGAGATGTAATAGCACTGCTCCCAGCTGGGCACATGATGCCATTTGAGGCGACGAGACTGGTTAAAGCGAAATGTTTGCAGAAGGGTTCAAACTGTTTTCCTTTTTAAACAACCTAGCTCAAAGCTGAGCACCTGCTGACTGCTTCTAATGATTACTACACTTTGTCCACTGCATTTCAAATCTCTATTCCCTATTCATCACTGTGTCCAATTAATTATTTAGCATGTTACTAGGTTACTGGTCAGTGGTATTTGGAGAAAAATATAAAACAACATAGAACCATATTGGGAGAGAGAGAGAGAGAGAGAGAGAGAGAGAGAGAGAGAGAGAGAGAGAGAGAGAGAGAGAGAATGAAACATATAAATGAGAGAGATACTTAAAATTTAATGACAGCCCAGTCTTTCTGTATTCCCTTTGATGTCTCTTTTCATTAAGGGCTTCTTTAAACCCAAATGGATTTATGAAATGATGAAGAGGGGACAGAAGACATTGTCATCTCCCCACAGACCCAAATCATTCATCAGGTTTGTGCAGCAGCAAACAGTATCTTGGTGAAAGCAAAGCAGACGCTGCCTCTCCTTCTTCTATTCTGAGCTGACTTCATAGAAGAATGTTACACAAACTTGTGAGGACAGTATTTCAGTTTATAACCCATTTTTGACCTAATTATAAGATTATCTAATTTGCTGCATCTTTGTTTAATCAAGGTTTGATGGTAAACATATATTGACTTTATATTTCCTATGTAAGACTTTGAAATATGAATCTCCCAAGAAATGGTAAGTCAATTCTGTTACCTCTAATTTTAGAATAGTACAGTATTCATGACTATTGTCATTAGGATTCTTGAAGTGAATTCCAAAGTTCTTCACTTAAATATCAAGCACTATGATCAGTATTTATCAGTCTCTGGAAAATCCAGAAATTTCTGTCTTTGGTCAAGTGTTTCCCTGCTATTGTAGATAACAATTTTTTCAGTCATGGTTTCCTTTCTACTCACCACTTCCTCTAGAACAATGTTGCTTGCTAGCACAATAACCTCTGGTTATATAGATTATTTAAATTAATTTAACAAATTAAATTCCTTCTTATTTATACTAGTCGCTGTGATGTGTTCCATGGTGACAAATTTCCCATGACTCCTAAATTGCATAAAGCAGATTTCGAACAAAGCAGAATAACCCGGTGCATAGTAAATATTACCATGAATACATGTGACATATATTGTAACAGTCTTGTATTCTCATATCAGAAGCTTGAATAATTAATTTAAAATATTATTTTGCCACTAAACAATTCTTTTTCAAGTTTTGTTTTTGTTCCTATTTTCTTCTTTGTAGGCCACTGATTTTCTGGGGTATATCCAAAAGAGAAAATACATACATGTATAGCCTGAAACATTTTAAGAAAAACACTATACTCAATTCCTAATAGATGTTTTACAATGAATTTTCTGGGATAATATTTATTTTTGAAATGAACTCCAAAGAATGCAACACAATTTTTCACCTGGGTTATACTTCATTTGAACATTGATAAAACAGGTGGGTATAAAACAAAAATCAAAAAATGCACTTCATTATTTCCCCAATTTTTAATGGAAAAAAAACAAAATTTCATAAAATATAATAGAATAACAATAGTTAAAACATTGTGCATTGTTATCTTCAAAGTATTCACTCAGAGTAAGACATGGGCATAAAAATTTTTCCAAATGATATTAGCGCAAACCTTTTTTTTTCAATGAACTAAGTGAAACTCGTAGTAACTATCTTGTATTTTTTCTTTCTTTACCTTTCTTTCCCCTTCCCCCACACTATTTCCTCCTTCCTTATGAACTATTTCCTCCTATTTCACAATATTTATTGCTCATTTTGGTCCTAATTTACTCTTTCAGTTTCTCACACCAGGGAGACAATATGATGTTTATACATGTGAGTTTGATTTATTTCATTTATGAGCACAATTTGTGACAGCTAAATCTTGGAAATAACCCAACTGCCTATCAATTGAGGTATGGATACGAAAGATATGGTCTTTTTATACAATATAGTACTACTCAGCCATAGAGAAAGATAAAATTGAGACATTTATAAGTAAATGTCCCAGTATTTTCCCAATACTGCTCATGGAAATACTTCACAGAAGCTCAAAGAGAATTCCGTGGCATTCTGACATATTTATTGATAGAATTTTTCCTAAAACCTTTACCTTTGATTTATTTATTTGTCCTCTGGTCTCCCTGATGTGTGGAAACATAATACAACAATTCTTCCACTTCAGGAAAAGGCTATTCTTTTGCTCTGGAGAAGGTGGGCTGCATACATTTCTTTCCAACCACTACTGACTTTTCTTTAATAAGAAAACTCCTCACACAATTTCCAATTTTAATCTGATTGCCTTTCTCAGGTAAATGATGATTAGAGTCATAGTATGAAAAAATCATCTTATAGATTACTGGTGTTTTAGAAATCACTCTGGGAAAACCATATGTTGAGATTTAAAGAATGGCATGAAATTTATAAAGAACTTTGTAATCTCTCAAATTCTATTTTCTGACCAACTTAACATCAGTTAATTTCAATTTTATAATGCCATTTCTACTACTCTCTTTTGGAAAACTCATTTTAACAGGTTGCCACTGTTGATCTTCCTTGTGGGCTTTCATTTTGGTTACAGAAGCTTTGATAGTCAGGCCTCAGTAAAGTTTTACGTGGCCTGATCAGAGCGGAAAGTCACTACACCAATGAGCAAATCCTGGCATCTTCACCATAGACAGGGAAAAGGTACATTACTGAACAAAACTATGGTGTACACTGATATAGTCAAACTGATCTTGAAGAGTCTTTCTCCTTCAGAGCAAGGGCCCTAAGGGAAGTGGAAATTCTAGACATTTGCCTGTCACTTTACTTCTTAGTTTCTATCCTGAGGATGGGGGCAAATATCCACATCTCTCTAATTCTGAAGTCAACCCATTTGATAGTGAATATTCTCTATGGCGATGCTTCTTATTTAGTTTTTCTGAGAAATACAAGGTCTTCTGATGGCAAAATGAAACATATTATCACCTCCAAAATAAATAAATCAGTAAGTATATTGGCATGTGCTCCCAATTTTGCATCCCTCTTTGGGTAGATCTTATTCTTTGAAACTAGTGGCCAATATTCAAAGAAATACAAATAACAACTTTGTTTTAGCAAAAAATCAGGTTGACATCAGTATAGTAATTGTTATTTCCAGTTTCCAGTTTAATTAGTTATAGTTCTAAAACACGAGAAATGTTAATTGATATAACAACTGCAATTTTAAAGCATTCTCTGAATGGAGCTTCTAGGTTTGGGAAAATTAGGCCTGTGAAGCTTACAAGATTGTGGACAGAAACCACAGATCTCACCATTTGTTTTCTAAGCATTGACACCTGCTCATCTGGAATTCTTTTTTTTTTTTTTTTTTTTTTGGTCATTTTGAGATAGGATCTCACTATGCAGTTCAGGTTGGCCTTGACTCACTTTCTAGCACAAGTTGGACTTGAATTCTTAGCAATCCTCTTGCCTCAGCCTCTCAAGTGCTATAATCACAGGTGTGCACCACCACACCTATTGGACCTCATTTATTTTAATAGTACACATGTGTGACACATTGTGAATACATTCACCATGAGGTCTTAGTTCACATATTAACACGTCTTAATTCTTTGGATTTACATTATAGTAATTTTCATACTGTCTGGTGTAAGGTAAAAATATCTCACAAGTTAAATGAGGCCTGAGCATGTAGATTTGGGAGGAATGTGGGTTTAAACCATTAATGAAATTATTTTTCCATATTTCATTTGAAGTCTGTGGATTTATAGATGATTAAGTGATTTTTGCAGGGGCCCTGACCGACTCGACAGAGGTACACCTATTCTATTTTGGAGTAAGTCATGCTTTGCTAACAAATAACCTTCCTTCATAAATGGCTTAGCTCTCCATAGTTTTCACTATCTTGAGCTATTTTGTTAGCATGTGCTGCCTTAGAATACAGCATAACTATTGTAAGCATAACTATTGTAAGAGTGACTTAGAAGCAGTCAATCCTTTTTATTTCAGATGCCTCAGGCACTTCAAAGGTGACCCTGCATGCCTAGCTCAAGAAAAAGTGAGCGGTGACTCAGTGTAATCCAAACCAGCCCGCAGAAGAGAGCTCATCCTTGTTCTCCTAACTTGAAGGACCATGTACAAAGAAGCAAAGGTGCATTTCAGCATTTGGCAGCCTATGAGCAGGGATTCTTGTCCTAAATGACATTGATTTGAGATTAACTACTCATAAGAAGTAAGAATCATATCAGGGCACCAAATCTACCGAGAATCTACTGAGATCCACATTCTGTAAGCCCACATTTTAATTTGCAGACTGTCATCTCATTTAATTTTGAAAACTAATGAATCAAAAACTATTATATTCACACATATGTGCACATTGCAACATATATAAAAAGGCTCAGAAGATAACTACACATATTAGTTTTTAAGTTTTTTTCTTCATGCATGTTTTATTTTGCCTCCATTTCTCTTCCCCCCCTTTTTTTTTCACCATAACTCAGAACATTGGCTACATTCTCACAAGAAGCTCAACGATTTCTGCTTACCTGTTATAGATCTGGTGGTGGCACTTTCATACAGAGGAACGCCTTCTCCTGCATTGTTAAAAGCTTTTAGGGAGATTACATAATGGGAACTTGACTCTGGAGAAAAACAGAAACAATTTGAACATGTTTGCATTTAGGTTACTGAACTACTCAGGGTAACATTTTCCAATTTAATATAATCTATTAAGTAAATTATTGTTTGAAAATAAGAACACTGAACTCTGGAAAGAACGTGGCAGCAATGGCAATGGAACTTTTTGATCTTTCTGAATCCCCATATAAAAAGCAACTGAATGACAAAATGGAAAACCCAAAGCATTTAAATATACACTACAGAACTAGGTGAAATGCAAGCCTCAAAATGGAAGTGGGTGTGCATAACCACTGAACAGCTCCACCAGTTGGGTGTTAACCACATCTGTGCAGGAAAAACCGAAGGCAAAATATCACACCTGAAAACAGAGTATTCCCAAAATACCAGGTAATAGTGGAAAGCGTAGCAGGCCAGTTTGAGAACAGCAAATATAAATACTTGAAACTGAGCTGCAATGTGCTTTTTCAGGTCAGTGCCCAAACCGGACAAACTGCTGGGAATAGATATAAAGATCTCAGCAGAACCAAAACACAAATGAAAATGTGAGAAAGTCCAGATAAAAGGAGAAGAGAAGGGTGCATGGAAATTCTGGATACAAGCAGTCATCGATTTAATGTATACCAAGAGCTGGCAAATCTGTTTATAAATGTTTTATACATTTTGAAGGTCACAGTGTTTCTGTCAATGTTTAGTCTTGTTTGCTCATTTGTACTAATCTTCTAATGTTGAGAAACTATTCTTGGTTCAGTGAGGATTACAGAAAAACAGAACCTGGGCATGGTTTTACCTAGCACCTGCAGTTTTCTGAACTTCAGTTTATTGAAAAGGAAAGGACACTAAGCCTTGCGTATTTAGAAAAAACCTATTTGAATTTCTGTAAGTGCAGGAAAGCAATTCATGTAAATGAAAGCAACAACTGTTATTGAGGTAAAAGTTCCTTATGAAATCATCATAAGAAAAAAGTAAACTAGGCCGGGGAAGGCTGTTCATTGGCTGTGTGTACTATCCTTCCTATGGAAAAGGACACACACAAAAAGATCAAAAGTAGACCAACAATACTCAAGAAAACTAGATCGAAACTACAATTTGCTATTTCAAAATAAAATACATATAAAGCAATGGTATTAAGTACGGAAGAGCAGCATAAATCAGAAGAGAAAGTCAAAATGAGGTGGTACAATTCAAGAAAAAATTAACTTTTGGGCTGGGGATTTAGCTCAGCAGCATAAGTGCGTGCCTTGTAAGCGGATGGTCGTGAGTTCGATTCCTGGTACCGATTTAAAAAAAAGGTAAAAAAAATAAGTTAACTTTTGTGTCTAGATTTGTAACCTGAACAACTAGTTCTGAGATAATAGTGTGTACTATATTCCCCGTATTTTTTCTGTTTTGAAATTTTTCTTTTTTATCCTTTTTTGTTTTGTTTTTTTTTAAAATAAAAACTATAAATGAAAAAGTTAGATCCAAAAGGTGATATATGAAAATTAATATTAAAAATAAAGGGTAATAATGAACAAACTAAACAAAACTCAGAAAACAAAACACAAAGCAAAAAGAAAATCAAGAGAGTAAAAAACATATTTGGGAGAAAATGAAGATCTAACACATACAGAATGGAAGTCACTGGAGAATAAACCCAAAAAGGAAAGGAACCGAATAAATACTTTAAAAACACTTATTTTATTGATTTAATTTATTTGGCATGTGGGGAAAAATAACACATGACATGTGAGAGGAATTAGATCACTGTGAGCCTTATGAACCACAGCATTTTATGGCAGAAGGTGTTGTTAGCATGATTACTTGTAAGTACTGTAGATCAATCGTGGTGAACCTATGGCACGTATGCCACAGCAGGTTGTTTGTACCATTGAAGACTGTTCACAGCTAAGCTCTAGACAATAAAATGTAACTCAGTGACTGAGGATATAGCTCAGTGGCACACGTGTCTGCTTGGTAAATGAGAGATAGTGAGTTTAATCCCTGATACAAAAAAGAAAAAAGTAACTCAAAAACTTTACATTCAACAGATTTATCTGTAAATATAGGGCCAGGTATTTAGCTCAGCGGCATGAGGGTTCAGCCCAATGGTATTCACTTGCAAGTGATTAGGGGATATGGTCCTCCAGATCAACTCTAAGGTGAATTTTTGATTTCCAAAATGACAAGAGGAGACAATGACCTAACAGATAATTGATGAACAATAATTTTATTGAGCTAAGACTAAGTGTAAGAGAGGGTTAAGGAGAGATTTTATTTTAAAACAGCTACATGTTCTGATAATATAAATACACTGTAATAGTGATAAAATACTAAGAATAAGGAAGCTAGTAAAATGTTTTGATAATTATTACTGATGGTGATTATTTGTTATTGTAGTTGTCAGAATAATGTCACTTGGGATAAATCAAAGAAATAAACATGAGAAATTGTGATTCTGTGATCTACTCTGTCCATGAGAACTAGATTTCGGAATGGATGCAAGGACATACAGATGAAATATAGAGTTTAAGTAAAGTCTGGCATTCTTAAAGATTAACTAAAAAGGTACTTTGTATTCTGGCTCTATTCACAGTAGAAGTCTAGAAACAATGACTCAATAGAAGTAACTATCTATTATACAGACTATCATTTTGAAAACAAATATTTTTAATACATAAGAAATAAGGACTTCTTGTAGAATTTCTGCACTCAAAGTTTGAAGTAGGAATCATGCTAATAAAGCATGAAACATCTTGACATACAGAAAGATCAAAGCAATCAATCCAATAGATTCAAGAGTAATCTTAAAGAGTTTTTTGGTTGACCAGTGGAGAAGAACAACTGAGCACATAAAAAGATAGGAGTTGCAAGGTATCAAACCCATTGAACATGTATGAACTCCTGAATTCATAAAGATACTTTAAAGAATAACAACAGTAGATCACTTCTGAAGTGACAGGCAGTCAACTTGCTATCTGAAAACTAGTAAGGAAGCAAGAATTTTTTATGTCTTTCCTAAATAAACTCCATCAATGTTAATTGAACACCATGCAATGGGAAGTCCCTCATTGGAACACTACCATACAAATAAAAATCAGTTCATACAAGTAAATACTACCATTTTGAAGTCTCAGAAAATGAATGGATCTAAGCATTCATTAATACATTAATAACTGTTAAGACAAAACAGTGCCATCTAGATAATAAATATTTCCTGATGAAAGAATACATTGTTTTCTAGAGTTTTGCCAAAGGCTATAACTTATTTATTATAATAACAAAGTTTTTAAAATGAGTGCACTTGTGTCTATTTCCTGTGATCTCTGAAAATTGATTAGATGGATTTTTCTTCATGAAACTCATTTAAATGATGTTGGCATTCTAAGCCACAATGACTCCAAAGCCACAAATACAGCAAAAAGTATAGAATAAGATTATATCTAAAATACTCAATGGACTTCCATGCAACAAACTGATTCCCCCCTCCCCAAAGAATATTTTCTTCTTAAAATTTTATGTTATCCAACTATTTTACTATTAAGAAAGTAATAAACCAAATCTAAAATGTTAAGATGCAAGACTACTTGTACAACTCATTCCACTCTCTGCCCCGTTCATTGAGGCCTTTCTGCCGCTGTTGCAGGAATCCTGGTATTTTTTTCTATCTCTCTAGAATGTCCTTCAGTATTTTTTGTAGGGTTGGATTGGTGGTCACAAGCTCCCACAGTTCCTCCTTGTCATGGAAACATATTATTTCTCCATTAGTTTTGAGAGAGAGTTTTTTAGGGTCCATCAATCTGGGTTGGAGATTATTTTCTTTTAGGGCTTGGCCTACTTTACTCTAAGCTCTTCTTGATTTGATAGTTTGTGTTGAGAAGTCTGTCATTATTTTGATGGATTTTCCTTTAATGTAATCTGTTGCTTTTCTCTGACCACTTTTAATGTTCTGTTCTTGTGGTGAATTTTTGGGATCTTGATTATTGTATGTCTGGGTGTAGATCTGCTTTGGTTTTAGTTGGCTGGAGGTCTGTATGCCTCATTTATCTGGATATCATTTCTTTTTCCTATGCTTGGGAAGTTTTCCTTAATTATTTCTGCAAATAGCCTTTGTAATTCATTTGTGGTTACTCCTGCTTCTTTGCTCACTTTTTTTATTCTTAAGTTATTGATCCTCTTGTTGTCTTCTAGCCTTTGTATTGTTACTTCTTGGTGTTGTCATTTTTAAGAGATCCTTTCTTTCATGATCACACATTGCAAATCTATCTTCACATTTTGAAAGTCTAACTTTAGTTTCTGTCAAGCCATTTTTCTAGCTTTCAGTGGAGTTTTTAATTTCCTGGTAATCTCTTTGGATCTGTTTCATGTAGTCTAGATTTTGTTTATATTCTTCACCAAAGGTTTCTCTTCTCTTTCTGGGTTCCTCCATTCTTCTATCTGTATCTTCTTTAGAGGGGCTTAACACTTCTTTTATTAATCTTTTCATATGTTGACTCACTCGGATTAGAATTTTAGTTTTGAGTTCGTCTATGAGGTCATGAAGGGATTTCTTTATGTCCGTTGATGCTGTGGCCGATATTGCAAGATTGCTGTCCTGGATCTCTTCTGTATTTACCTCTCCTGGACTTATTTCCCATAGCCCGTGGCTGGAGGCTCTTTCTTATTTCTTTCTCTTGTCATGTTTCTGGTTTCTTTCAGACAGGTGTATAGTCAAGGTCTCAGGCCCTCTCCTAATTGCTTATGGTTTTTCTAAAGCATGCTGGCTGGGAGATTGCTGCCTTCTCCAGTTTACTGTTACCTGAGGTGCATACAGGGATGATGCATGCTGGCCCCTCTTCTCTGAGCCAGGCAACTGGCAAGTGCCTTCAGCATGTTAGATTGTGCTGTGCAGAGTCACAGGTTTGGGACAGTTTTGTCCCTGGCTATTGGGTTCTGACCATGGGTGTTACCCAGCCCAAGCAGATCCCACGGGTCCTCTCTGGGCCAGGGGCAGCTAACTGATACCATGTGGTTCCGGGTGCAGGCT